CGCTCAGATCTTAAGCTATAAAAATTAAGTTAACTAGAAAATATGTTCCAAAATTCAGATTCTCACAAAAATCTCGAAAAACTGCGCAATGAGCAAGAACACCCTAGCCATGCATCGTCAACTATTCAAAGCTCTCGTTATCCAAACCTGCATTCCAATATTTGCTAGCTTTTTACCTACAGTAATCGCATGGTACGCGCCAATTTTTCAGATTAACTTGACATGGTGAGTAGAGAATTTAACTGTTTTAAACTTTTTTTACTCGAAAAATTCAGGTGGAACAACTACATTTGTATCATCGCACTCGCCGCATTTCCATTCATCGACCCTATTGCTGTAATTTGTTTCATTCCGAGCTACAAAAACACAATTCTCGAATGGCTTCGCTTCAAAAAATTTACGTCGACTACAACGCCGTCTACCACAGATGCCGCGTCGACTGTATCCCGAAAACAGACTACAAATAATTCGACAACAAGGAATGAATAACAATTTGATTTTTTCATTTTTATCTTGTCTAACTTTTGGTAATGATTGAGGAATTTTTTATCACAATTTTGATCACATTAGCCCTTCAATGAGTTGAAATTCTGGGACCAGCGTTGGAGGTATAGGGTCGCTACCAGCTGAGCTAAGGTGGCGCAAGCTGCGCGCCAGTTTGCGCGCTGCCGTATGTCCCTCCCCTTATAAAAATGATCCAGAATTTTTCAAGACTTCTGAAAATTTCAGACTATACTGAACAAATATATTAGGTTGGCGGGAAAGTCTTTGTCACTTTTTCAATAGTTTATTTCTCAAAGAAAAAATAACCGAATAATTAATTATATTGTCCATCATTATCAACAACATGTCTCCAACGTTCCCTCAATTTATGGATTCCATTGCGGTAGAATCCAGCCGGGCGTGAGGCAAAGTATTGTTTGAGTGCCGCTTCGACCGCTCCACGGGAATTGAAGCTTCTTCCTTCGAAGGCACGTGTCATATCGCCAAATAACCAATAGTCGGAAGGAGCAAGATCAGGAGAATACGGGGGGTGAGGGAGAACATTCCATCCATATCCCATCAGCTCCTGCTTCACTTGTTTCGAAACATGTGGGCGAGCGTTATCATGTTGATAGTACACTTTCTTGTCTTTCAGGGCCGAACGGTCGACTGCTTTCTTGAGGTTTCGTAGTTGAGTAGTGTAGAGGTCTCCAGTTATTGTTTTGCCCTCGGGCAGAAGTTCCCAGTAGATGGGGCCGTCCACTCCCCACCACACAGAGAGCATAACTTTTTTCGGATGAAGGTCGGGTTTGGGGACATCCTGTGGGCTCTCTCCTTCTCCAACCCACTGGGATTTCCTGTGGTGATTATCGTAGAAGACCCACTTCTCATCTCCGGTTATTAGCCGGTCCAGCCATCGATCGCCCGCGTGGAGAGTGAGAAGGGTAATCGAATCGTCGACTCGGCGGTCAAGGTTGGCTTGAGTCAGGTGATGACGTATGAATCGACCAAAAAGTTTTCTCATTCCAAGAGACTTCAAACCTTCAACGACTGTGCTATGGTGAACTCCGAATGTGACAGCTAGTTCACGGCTAGATTGAAATGGATCCGATTGCAATGCGTGCTTCAGCTTGTCCAAATCCAACTCACGGGGTCTCCCAGAGCGATCCTTTTCATCGAGCGAGAAGTCATCTTTTTCGAAACGATGGAACCAATTGCGAATAGTATTGTAGTGAGGGGCATGTGTGTTGTACACATTCTTCAAGAAAGTTTCCGAATCCTTCATCGTGGTGTGAGATAGGAAGAGGTAAATCAAAACATGTCTGATGTGAATAGCAGTGGGAACAAACATATCGTTTCAATTACAGATGAGGAGCAGGGAAGGAGATGGGGACTTGTTTATATGGAAGGTTCTTATCACCTTGTTATTCACTAGAGTCGATATCATACACAGCCTCCATATACGAGAACAGTGATTAAACAAACAGAGTGACAAAGACTTTCCCGCCAACCTAATAGAGCTTCATTTTGTAATTGACAACTTTTCTGCAAAAATACAACAAAGCGAGATGAGCGGGTTTAAAGTAACATGACTCCCTTTTCAGTGCAAATTTAAGATTAAAATGAAATTCGACGAAAAAGCTGTCCATTACAAAAATGATGCTCTATTTGAGTTTAGTGTAATCTGAAATTTTCAGAAAAATCTAAAAATTCTGAGCCACTTTTTTAGAACTCCAAACTTCTTGATTTTCAATTGAGGAAATCGCGACATTCCATTGCAACCATATAATGAGCCTATATGCATATCCATCCATTTGATTCCAGTTTCCGTATTTTTCAGACTAACTTTGACTCACTCCCCGGCTATCCGTCCAATTGTTCCTCACTTGTTTCCTCTGAAAAAGAAACTAGTTCTCTATTTTCTGTCTTCACTCTTTTTTTGCGGTTTATTCATATTATGAATGCATGGAATAGGGTGACTGACCCCCTTCTATAGTCTTTTTTCATTCATTTTTTACATTCGGTTCAAAGGTTCTTTTTTCAAAGGCTCATATCTCTAAAACTAAAATAGCTAGAAAAAAGTTATCAACTACAATTATGTAGAGAATGGAATTTTACACATTTTGATGCTGTTTTGTGATATCTTGAATTTCTGCTGAGTTACGGACGGTTAAACTAAGGGGAGAGAGGGGGGGGCACAGAGAAGCTCGACTGTCTGTTTGTCTGCGCTCTCTATCTCTCTTGCCTTGGTAGCTATCAAAAAGTTGTCAACTAGCAAAATGTGGCAAAGTTTAAGCTCTATGTAATAATAATTTTCAAAATTCAATTGTACGAATTTTGAGCTGAGATACGGATGTTGAAACTAGTAAGGAAAGAGAGGGGGGCGCAGAGAAGCTCGACTGTCTGCTTCTCTGTGCTCTCTATCTCGCTTGGCTCAATAGATATTAAAAAGTTGTTAACTAACAAAACGTGTAAAATGAGAAGTTCTATATTTTTGTAGTTTACAACTTTTTTCTAGCTCTTTTTCTTTTTGAGATATGGACAATTTTTTCAAACTAAAAGTTTTTTTTTTCAATATTTATTTTCCGTTTAAAAATCATTAATCTGATCACAATCCACTTGACACCATTTTCAATTCAACTCTATTATTATATATTTCTCAAGTGCCTAAGCCTATATACCCATCTCTTATCACATCTTTTGCTCCTCAATATCCCTTCTTCACATTTTTTCTTTCCCCTTCCAAACCGAATGGATTGTTTGTCAATAAAAAATGGGAAGAGGAGTGAAAAAAGAAAGAAAAGGTGTCAGAAAAAATAGATTGAAGACACATGGTGTGTGTGGTTTTTACATGTCATGTTGGTGGTCACTTGGATTCGATTTCTTTGATTTTTTTTTTTGGATTTTGAAGGTCAGTGTTATTGGATGATGTGGTCTTTTTTTTTTGATTAAAAACAAATAAGATTATCATTTGATAAATTTTAATCTGTTTTTCCTTTTTTTTAAATTATATTCAGAAACTCTAATTTTTAGAGATCTCCGTAAAACCTGTAATAGAAGGGCCCCCCAGTCTGTCTAGTTTGAGCTCAGTTATCTCGGCTCCTGTGAAAGATATCGATCGAAAATGTGTCAACTGATAAAATGTTGGTGATATTATGATAAAGAATTTATCAGTGAACAACTTTTTGATAGTTTTAACAGAAACAGAGAAAAATTGTTTTAAAGTTTTTTTTTGAAAATTTTTGAATTTTCGTTTTCTTGTGGCACAAATGGCGGACCGGAGTAAGGAAATTTGGCTCACGTTTTTTAAATATATTTTAATTTTTTAAATTTTTTTGCCAAAATTGTGCAATCACATTCGTACCGAAAATGACATTTCTCAGAAAATAGACAAATTTTCGAATTTTGTTTACAATCAAACTTTTTTATCAATTCTCACATTTCCGCCTATTTTTCTCCAAAAATAGAAATTCAGACATATCCCTTATCCGTTTCTTCAAAGCAGGGGTAGTCATGAAAAAGATATACATAACTTATTTTTCAGCTGATTTACAGTCATTTTTACCATTAGTTTTACCATTGGGTAAGTCTTTTTTGTGGCAGTTTTGTGTTATGTGCTAAATTACCTTCGGGTATTACCTTATCCTTTTTTTTTGGTTTCGAACTGCAAATCTTCAATATTGACTGAAAAAAGTCACTAGAAGAGTACATACAGTATCGGTCAATAAGATATACAAAAACGTAGTTTTGATTTTCGGCCAATTTCAAGTCCGGAGCTTACCTGTCAAGTTTCCCATCACTTTGAAAACTCTGGAGGGTATAATACAGATCTAGATTGAAAACTTTGCATTCACAGAATTTTTGTAAAAATTTTTAGATTTTCAGCTACTTGCCGATTTCTGAAGAACACCTGTTTTTTTCTAGTTTTCCTTACAAAAACGGGACAAATAGGGGAGTGTCCTTCAGGAATCGACAAATAGCGGAAAAACTAGGAATTTTCAGAATATTCTGTGAATGCAAAATTTTCAATCTAGGGTTGTTTTACATACTTGAAAGTTTTAAAAGTGATCGGAAACTTCACAGCCGAGCTCCAGACTTCTGAAAATGGTCAAAATCAGCTGAAAACTACGTTTTTTCTATATCTTATTGACTGACACTGTATGTATTTTTTATTGCAAACTGCAAATCTACAGTATAGACTAAAAATAGTCCCTTTTGTACTTATTACTGTAGCTCAGTCGGTACATCCCATATTTGGCCAGCTAGTTTGATTCGCCCCCCCCCCTTCTTTGAAGGCCAAAACCAAATTTCCGCTTTCCTACTAGTCCGATCCCATCCAACTTCCTCCTTCCACCTCATCAGATCCTCTCACTGCTCCACCCCCCCCCCCCTCCCTAATTTGTCTTCTCTTGCTCCCCCAACTACTACTACTATTCACTTATCTCCATCGTCTTTTCTATTTTCCCATTCTCTAAATACATACCTTATGTTGTCTTCTCGTCTTCATTTTCCAGAGCATTCTCAAAGACACACACTCTCCCCCCAAATTATTCCGCTTCTTCTATTTTTTTTCTTTGTTCATTTCTTCCTCTTTTTTGTGCATCGCTGGAATGACTAATCTCGTCAAAGTCTCTTTTTTCTGGTGCAGGTTTTCTTAAAAAATTGTGTATAGAAATGCAGCCCCAAAAACCCTAAAAAAGTCGTTTTATTGCTCATTTTTATTGCTCATCTTATATGGCTTATGGTTCCCCTTGTATTGTTTCTTTTTGTTCTTTTCATTTGAGTTTCTGGGAAAAAGACGTCCAAAGTCTTTGACCTTTTTCCTTCTGGGACATCTTTTTAACCCATTACTCTTAATTACGCACTAATTAGGCACTGGGTACATCAGGCGGCCGAGCACAACTTTTGCTCATTTCAAGGCTCTTGGACTTTTCAGCGCAGAGAACATTGACAAATTGGAATTTTTTTTAATTCTAAAAATTGATTCTTCTCCCCTAACTCCATCG